CTAACTACAATGTCGTAGCATAAAGAAAAACACTGCACATATTGAGGCAACATAGGCATGTGCTACTATATACTTATTACTTATAACTGTTATTATCATGGCAGAAGGTAGGTTATAAAATAATCTCAGTAACAGTTTAATATCTTTATGCCTTTGGGTGTTCATCCTGGGTTCAACAAGTCTTGTTTCACTCCGGAAAAGTGGTTAGGGTTAGGGTTGAAATAAAGCATACTCAAACCAGACCTTATGAATGCTAAACATGGTCTATTTTTGCGGGCGCTGTCGCTGGGCTCTTTTCTCCCACAATGCAATGCACAACTGGGAAAAATATTTTTTTGTCTTCTCTTTTAAATTTGTTCAAAAGTTTAATTGCCTGTCAGATTCAAAGTCACAGTTTGATTGACATTGACATTGCATGTATTGAATCATTTCTTGCTAGTATAAGAAGGTAGTAGAAGTATGTATATATATATATTTTTTTAATAAAACAGTTTATTATGCCAATTAATATGTAGTACATTCTGTATAAAATTAGCATGTGTAGTAGTATCGATTTGGGAGTCTCTGCTACTCCTCCCATCACTCATCAGAGAATAACGGGTGCTCCTCCTCATGGCCATAGCTGGTTACTGCAAAAAAGAAAGCAACAACAACTGAGTCCTTAAACACTGATCAGCCATAACATTGTGAGCACTGACAGGTGAATAACACTGATTATCTGGTTATCATGGCATCTGTGAGTGGGTGGGATATATCAGGCAGCAAGTGTACATTATACACATGTAATATGTCATTTCTTAATAGATTATGTAAATGATTGTAAACAGAAATAAAGATGGTTCAAACTTTTTTTTTTTTACGTTCAAAGCTTCAATTGAGGTATTTGGATTAAAGGACCAGTGTGAATGATTGTGTGGTAACTAGCTAGTGAAGTTTCAGATTGCAACTAATTGAACACCGCTGTCATCTGTATCTGATGAACCGGCGAATGAGAACGGGCTCGGAAGTGTGTAGGAGAAACTACGAAAAATGTCTAGAGCCAGTGTTCAGTTTGTCCGTTCTGGGCTACTGTAGAAACATGCCAACTCAACATGGCAGACTCCATGGAAGGTAACTTGTGGTGTCTGTAGATAAAAAAGTCTCACTCAACGGAAAACACAGCGATTCTTATTTTCAGGTGATCGTACAAACAATTAATATTATATTCCATTACTGCCAATAGAACCTCTTGAATATTACACACTGCACCTTTAAGCTTTAAGTCTGTCACCACATTTTATTATGTTATTACCCTAAAAAAAAGAAAAAATTTTTGTTTGATTACTTCACGAAGTTACATTACAAATAAACATGGCAACACCTCCGTGTCCACACACCTCATGACAGAGCAGAGATGGAACCTGGGTCAGTGCATTTTGAAATAGGTTTTCCTGACCTCAAATCCTGCACGCTGCAGGATGAATAGACATGCAAAAATGAAAATAAAAAGCTGTGCAGGACTATTTGGTAAAGCCCTGCAGAAATATCCCTCTCAGAAGAGCTGCAGGGATGGGGCTGCTCTGCCGGCCACGCACCATTCCCTTTATCAGATCTGCTCAATTTCAAGTGCACCGCTGCGACCAATGAAAATGTCGCACTTGACAGAATTTTGATCTCACCCTGGAGCCCTGGTCCTTTTTTTGTTTAGCAATATTGGCTTTAAGTGTTCATGCTACCCCAACCAGCCCCTTCTATTACTTCCAAACAAGCTGTCATTTAAGCAGTTCTTGTTTTAGCACTGAGCCCAAACTCTCTCTTTTTTTCTTTCAGTCTGCAATGGACATCCCAGGCCTAAACCTGAGCCAGCAGGAGTATTATCCTTACGTCTACTACAAGATCGACTGCAACCTGTTGGACTTTAAAGTTTAACGCTTTCCCCATTTTGTGTTTGCGTTAAGTGTTGATTAAGTTTTTCCTGGTACAAACCTCCCCGTCCTCCCTCCACCCGACCCCACTGTCTGTCTTCTCACTGCCGCCTCTCCCCATCAGCTGCTTGAATGACAATGCTGCATGTTCATTTCTTGTGATGATAACCCTCATCAGCAAGCACTTAACACTTTTACAACCAAGGGACAAAAAAAGACTTTTAAATATTGTTTTTGTTTACAGTGTATTTTTCTTCTTAAGCCACACAGATAATTTTTTGATGTGAAATGGATAAAGAAATCATGTCAGAGAGTTGTATATTTACTGTGTCATTCCACGTGTGCTGGTGTGTACTGATAACTGCATCTTCTGTATCGGTGTCCAGAGATTTGTGTTTACATATGGGCAATGTTATCACTGTACCCATGGCAACCGGATCTGGTGTGTGTTTCTGAGATCGTGGGGTCATCCTCGCAGACATTGTGCAACAAAGCTGTTATACGAGTGTGTGTTGTCTCATGTTGTGTGTATATTTGCTGTCAAAAGAGATCTGTATCAGAGTATTGTGTAAACCATTGATTGAATAAATGTGATTGATGAATAAATCAAATCAAATATGTGTGAGTTTGTGTATGTGCATCATTTCTTCCCAGATTTTATTTTATGATTATGGTGAGGCCGTTACATGAGCGATGTGCATGTGAGAGAAACAGAAAAAGAGATACGTAGGCGTCGTCTGTGTGTGCGTAGTACAGAGAGAGATCCTCTGTGAAGCCTTGTGATGACTCATGATCATATGCAGAGCCACGGGTAATTTCAAGGAAAGTTCCTCTTTAAGCAGAAATCATTTGGAATCCAAATAGCTGGAAGAAAAATACTTGAGTTCAAACATGGAGGACAGCTGGAGATACCGACAGCCAGCAGAGGGCACTAAACAGACACTTCAGATGAGGTCCTTGCATGATATTGTTTTGTTCTGAATTAAAGTTGTAATTAAGTAAAAGCAATAATAATTAGCAATAACATGGACTTAAAGAATCAAAAGTAAAGTACTCCTTATGCAAAGTGGCCCTGCCTTTAGTGTTATTATTATATTATTGGTTCATTATTACTGGTGCAATAACATGTAAGCAGCCCTTTTATGTTGCAGCTGGTAGAGGTGGAGCCACTTGAACTACTTCATATACTGTTTAATCTCCAACAATGCATCATAATTTGCAAACTGATCATATGTTTTATGTATAAAATCAGGCACATGCAATATTACCCATTGAAATGTAGTTACAGTAGATGTATAAAGAAGTATAAAATGGAAATACTCAAGTAAAGTCCACCTACCTCAAAATTGCTCATAATAGCACACAAATAAATATACTTAGTTGCTTTCCACCACTGTAAATATCAAGTATGCGTCTAAACTGTATGTGTTGCAAGTTCCATGACCATTTAAGATTTGGAGACCACACTGATAGCTCATAATAAAATGTAATTTAACAGAGCAGCGTTTGGAATGAACAAAGGCTCTGCCAAATAACAGAAATCAGATACAGACAGAAGCACAGCCATCACTCAGGTGTTTCTAATCTACATGATTAGGGGTCAATGTACTGGATCAATCAGAGCAGAGCTGGGGAACACAGATTCTTCTTAAGGGGACAAAGTAGAAAAAATATAGGAATAATGTATAAGAATAATGTACAAAAACATGTTGAATCTTGATAACAAAAAACTTGATCACATGAATTAAAGCTGCATTGGGTCTCTCATAAAAATAATGTTTTGTCATTATTTCTGAAATTTCCACTGCGTACTGACAGTAGAACATGAAACAGATAGCATGTAAAAAATCAGGCTTGTTCCAGCGCTGATAATAGCATTTGCACAAATCCACCGGTCCTGGACAAAAACAACCAATCAGAGCCGAGAAAGACGCTGGAAGTTTGAAGATAGTTGATTGTTGAGTCTCATTCCCAGGGTCCCACAGCGTCTGTATTTGACAACCTGGGAATGAGACTCAACAATCAACTATCTTTCTTGACTCTGATTGGTTGTTTGCATTCAGGCCCGGTGGGTTATTACAAATACCATTATAGGAGCACTATGAGCAGACAGAGGAACCTGATTTTTCACAGATTATCTGTCTCATGTACTACTGTCAGAATATAAGTATATAAAATTTCAGCAAATGTGCAAATATTTTTTATAAAAATCACCTAATGCCGCTTTAAGTATCCAGAAGGGTAACAATTGTCACAAATGCAAAACTGTAAATAAATAAGATGGAAAATACTAACATAAAGAAGTACAGTCTACAGTAGCAATGGGATAGATTAATATTAATGACTACAATATTGTGTTTTCAGTTTACCTGATTAAACCTCTGCTCAGGTTGAAAATGGGCAAAAAAAAAACCCACAATAAAACATAAATGCAAAAGATAAATGATTGAAATAGATAAAATATTGTTTTTTTTCAGCAGGTGAATGTTTCTGCCCAAGATGCTTAATATACATAAACATAGTATAAATATTCAAATGATGTGGCAACACTTGACTGACTATGTTACTAATTGTAAGCAATAAAAGACTGTACAAAAAAGCATCTGTGTTACTATATAACAAATATTACATGGACATAGAACAATGAAAACACTGTAGAAAAACTACAGTTTTATTATTTAGAAAAATAATAAAGAAATAAAGCTTTAAATGAGTCCAGCTACAGATTTCACTGCATATTCCACAGTTATCAGTATCCTGTAATAGTCATTCCACTCATTTTGGGTTGGGTTCAACATGCGTTGTTGCCAATGACCATGGATAGTAATCCAGCTTTGACTCCAGTGAAACATATTTGAATGAACTAAATCTGAATTATCCACCATCAATTGGAAAAAGAGAAAAAGAAAAGAAATACCCGAACGGTCTTATAATCAATCCATCTCTCAAAATCTCAAAAAAAAAAATATGCAGGGACATTTGGTGTGTCTGTGTGTGTGTTCGTGTGTGAGAAAAAGAGAGATAGAGAGATTAGAGAGATAGATAGATAGAGAGAGAGAGAGAGAGAGAGAGAGAGAGAGAGAGATCATGTGATGAAGGAGTGATCCAGGCTTGCTGGGTTGTGATGTGAGACACACACACTCACACGGTGAAGGCTACGGTCACACAACCCCCACACGCACCGTCTCATGACAGCTGGTACCGAAACCTGAACGAGGCGTCGGGCTCGGGCGGGCAAACAATCACCGGTGTGCTGCTGCTGGAGGGAAGCATCAATGCCTCCAGGTTCCCTCTCACATATCGGCCTGGACCTGTTCTCATCATCGGGCCTCCTGCGCTGAGATAATGAAAGGATGGCCGAGCAGCGTTGCGGGGACCACGGAGGGCTGACGGATGCTGCTGCAGCGATGAATTCAAAGGAGGAGGCAGCAGCGGAGGGTCTCTCTCTGGAGGAGATACTGGGGCTTTATGGCCAGCCCATCAATGAGGAGCAGGCATGGGCGGTGTGTTACCAATGCTGCAGGACGCTGGCGAAGGGACACCGGGGCAGGAGGAGCTGCTCCGCCGCAGCCGGAGCATCATCAGCGGCGGCTCCAATGAGGATCTCCGGACCGGGGGATGTTAGGATACAGAAAGACGGGTCTGTGAGGGTGGAACAACAGGGCTGTGAAGGTAAAACATTATTTAAGACTGAGAACGCCTACTCCGATCTAGGCCAGGCCATCACTTAGCCTACGTTTCAAATAATAGGGCTGAGGTGTTGTGATTGCCCTTATGTAAAAGACAAATACCAGGAGTGCAACAGCCCACACAATCACAGCAACACTTGCGTAATACCCAACAGCAGTATAATATACATATACCAAAACAACACTGTCACCATAAATAAAATGTGTAGGCCTGCACATGTTTTGAAACTGAACATGTGCCTGTTTTGTGCACGTTTTTACTGACCAGGTGCTTTATTTGCACTTAATCTGCAGCAGGGCCACAACATTTAGAGCTCCATTACACATGATCCCTGATAAACAAAGGGATGCCATCAGACACCCCCGCTGCTCTCACTTTCATTGCTCCTGTGGTGTTTTCACTGTTTCCTCCTCACCGAAGGCACGTGTGTGCATCATGTGGTTTCATCTCTTATTAAAAAGCCTCTCAAGCCTGTTTGCCCCTTCTTATCAGATCAGTGTGTTCATTCTGCTTCATCTGATTAAAGCAAGTGATTACAAGCTGAAATGTGCATTGGCACTGATCGGATCAAGGTGTGGGCCTGTGTGTGAATAGAAAAGGACGTCATGGAGTGATGGTTCACCCCTGCACACACCTTGTATCTTTATGGCTTTATTCAGCTGTTCCTGTGACACAGGGCATTATATTGGCAAGACTCTGGCGATACGATATGTATCACGATACAGGGGTTAGGGTTCAATATATTTTGATATATTGCGATACTGTAAACAAGGTAATTTATTAAAAAAATCTTATTATAGGAAAACTTTTATAGTATGAAGAACACAGTGTCAGATTTGAGTAATAAAAAGTTTACTTTTTTATGCAATCAGAGCAGTATGATCTGCATTTGTATATCACAGTCCCTTTAACATCTAGCACTATTTGTGTGGCTGATGATAGATGACAGCACTGCAATCTAGCAGTCAGGATTTAACACAAATTGAAACTCTAACACAAAACTATTCATTAAAAATCTTTCCAGTGTTTTTGAGAATTGATACAGCATCATGAAAGATAATATCGCGATGCTCAGGTGCATGGATATGTTCTTACACCCCCACTGTGACATGGGAAGCCTTGTTGATTACAGCTATAATTAATGAGGTGCTATAAAAATGAAGAGATAGAGCCCAGCTGGTGTGACAGTGTTTCTGTTGCCAAGCTGAAAATATCCAAGAAAGTGAGAGTAGACCGTGATGTGTGCCAAATGAAGAATCACTGCAATATTCTGAAAATATCCCTTCAGGGATTTAGACAGTGTCTGTGGGGCTACGCAGCATCTTTATGGTGACTTTATTGTACTTAATGGTAATTTGTGTCTCATATGGGGGAGAGTGTTAGTGTTTCTCTGGTATTTGACTTCTTGTATCCGAGATACTAAGGCTGCAGATCTTTTTTAAAAAGAGATCAACCAGGATCCCAAACCATAACAAAACAAATGACACTGCGTGCCAAGCGATGTGTGTGTTGCTATGGGTGTGTCTGTGAACGATAGCATGCACACATTACAGAGTCTTCTTTTCAAACCGAGGTCCTGGCATGTTCATCGTCAGCTGTAATCACATTTGCTGAGACACTGAACGCAGAGTGCAGAGCAGGCTGAGTGAATGCCTATCCATCTATCTATCTCCGTCTGTAATGGACGATACCTGAGGGCCTGAGGGATGTGCTCTTAACTCAGCTGCACACACACTGCAGAACACTGCTGAGTCAGTGTTATGGCTTTAGATTGAATAAATGCTCCGATTGCTTCGTCTAATCAACTTTCATGAGCAAATCTGAGAGGCACAGCTGTGATGATGATGATGCTGGTGGTGGCCTGTAGGTCTATATGCTTAGAATGAATGGGCTATTTTTAGGAGCATGGAAGCAACCATTGGGGAGGGGAGTCCAGGCTTGTATTCCTCCGTTGCTCATGTAATGTCATATCATGCAAAATGTATTAAGAATGAATTGAGCTGTTAATTATAGTTCAGCATGTTATACACGTAGATGTCATGTTTTGTGTTTGTTAAAATAGCTTCACTGATCATGTTGCTATGGACACCTTAACCTCTCCTTCACATCACACACCGGATGTGCAAAATATTATACATGACGTAGAACACACACACGGTGAGATGCATTATCCTGTACAGATAAATACAGGATAAATATTACCATAGCTGTTAGAGAGGGATATAGTGAGACAAATAATGCAGTTAGAGCTGCATCTCAATATTATGTCGATTTTTGTACTTTTTTGTGGTCCAAATGTGTTCATTTGAATTGATTTTAAACTGGATGTTTAAACCATTTGTCCCAATACTTTTAGCTATCTATTTCAACTGCTTATCTTATCCAATACATTTAGCTAGCTTAGCTAAATATTTTAATCATGTATCCATTTCTTTTAGCTAATTTAACATTACGTTTATCCTTTAGTTTTAGCTTGGAACTATTTATTTTGCTTATCCATTGTATTAAGCTACATTTAGCTATTTCAACCATTTATCCATTGGGCTAGTTTGAGCTAACTATTGACTTATCCAATACATTTAGCTAGGTTAGCTATATATTTTAAACATTCATCCATTACTTTTAGCTCATTTAAACTGTTTATCCATTACTTTTAGTTTTATCTTCTACTTTTAGCTATCTATTTCAAACTATTTGAATTGATTCTTCATCACTTTTAGCTCCTGCGGACGTACCCCGGCTGTACAATCGCTATGCGGTTTCAGTGCTTTGCTCGTGTAACCACACAAATGGTTTCAGTGTTGAGGGTAATGTGCTGCTCTAATTGCCACTTATCTGTGCTGTTCAACACAGGCTCTCTCTCCCTGATGCACGAGCTCGCTCAGACAAACTCATTCATGTAAATAATGCGATAAATCTGTGGCCAACATTTTGGATTTAGGACTTCTGAAGCTGTCACCTGCTAGATTGACTTCAAGTTAATTCCAGACAAGGTTAGTTTTAGACCTGGTTGTCTGTTAAAACCGTGTCCATCTAGTATAGTTTTATCGACACCTGACATTTTTTATTATATCTGACATTATGAAAGCAGGGCACTGTTAAGAACCTTACTAAATATTTTTGTGTCTTGCCTAAACTTTGATAAATAGGCTAGATTTCTTTTCCGTGCTGGTGCCTTCCACAAGGGTTATAGTATTATTAAAAAAGCATGTTCTATTATCTGCTCACCCTGTTTGCAATACACATAGACACACACACACATCACTCCGTTAACTATTCTTCACCATACAGCAGCAAGGCATTCAAATCTGCTACTGCAAGTTAAGGTCATGAGATGATGTCAGAGCTGTGGTGGCGTTGCATTTCCGCGCGTTACAACACAAAACAGCCGTTTGTTAACAGGGTCATCTGTTAGCAGGCTGTTTGTCCGTGAAGTAAAAGCTGGGCTGATGTAGCCTGGAGAAACATTAAAGTTCTTGTTGAAGGGAGTACATTCATGGCTTCTTGGGAGGAGTTTTGTCATCATCAGTCACATGCGACTTAAACCATGAAAGTAATTAGAAATGAGCCAGTGCTTTCATTAAAAGTGGTCTAGTTTGCATAAAGATAACTAGAGCACAGAGCTCTCTTTTGCTAAAATTCGGAAGAGAATATGTAATCACTGATGATAAGTAAGTTATGGTACTGTGATAGCAAAAGATGATAGAAATCGTTACATTTAAAATTCCAAGATATAACAGCTTTTCCTTTAAACCTGAACGTGAGCATTTAACAGATAAGGCTTGGTGTTCTATATTATTATTGTTATTATTATTATAGTAAATTAAATTTCATGAACTAAAACCAACTATGAATTGATCCTAGTAACAAATACATTGTTGTCCAAAAGCTATTAACAAACATTGTGACGTGTTCCCTTCTAGTTAATCCAACATTCACCATTCTCCTTCCTAGAAACACTCCACGCTGAATGTGTATTAATCCTCAACTGAAAATAGTCCCCAACAAATGAACAATTTACTCTATTTACTATATATTTGTGATCTGTTTTGGAAGATCTACAATTTCAGTTGGAATGAAGAGACTTATTGCCACAGACAACATAGGATAATCAGAAAGTATTGTGAAGCACTATTGTTGGTTTTGGTCTTTATTTGTTGACAAGACTAACCTTTATCCTTTTATTCATGTTATCATTTGTGGACATGTTGTTTTTTCCCGATTAGTTTATTTTGGGTAAAAAAATCATGCAAAAATTCTTGTTTGTTCCATCCAGATTATTTTGATTCAACTATTTTGATAGTTCTCACTCCTTGCTATTTGTACAGATTCACAATCTTCCGTGGCCTGAGATTAGTGACAATAGATGTATGACATCTTAAATTAGTAAGAAATGCATCTGAGCATCAGCTGCTTTATAGCGGCTATATTTGTGCTCAATATGGGTGTGGTTTCCCCTAATGCAGCATAAGAGTATCCTTTAACAAGTGGTTGTCTTGGTCAACTTTTGTGGTGTCAGAAACCCCAAATGGATACACATCTGGCTGCAGGCCAGTATTTGATAAAATGTTGTCTCAGGGATCCTTGTATGATAAGATTAAGTCATTCCAAAACTGTTTGTGCTGTAGATTAACAACAAAGAGTGTAAAATCGAACAGTATAGTCATTCTTATACACTGGGCTAACTTCTAAATTATAGTAAAAATAAAATATTCCCCATTATCTGGTGACCCCCTGGAACCCTCTCCTGGACCCCAGGTTGAGAACCATTGCTTTAGACTGTCCATTGATACCTTCTGCCTGCTGATTGGATCCTGAGACACTGAACCAAAAGTAATGCCTGACCTTTGACATTGATGGCTGAGAGCATCATCACATGCACTCAGTCATACATCCTATACAGCATTTTTGCATTGTAACTGAACAATGATATGTACGTAGTCACGAATGTGTGTATGTAAGCTGCTTTATGCTCAGGTTTACGTCTGCTGCTTATCACAACACTGCTTTCTTGTGTCCCTGCAGGTACATACAGCCCTTGCACAACAACAGAGGTGAGTAACTCCACTGCAATTCTATTGTAGTTATTGTATTTCATGCACATACTTGCAGAGGTTTGAACAATATTATGTGGACATATTTACTTGTGTTTAGTATCAAAGCACCTGCTGTTGGTGGGGGAGGAAATAAGAGCAAATATGAAGGAAAGTTGGCAAGTTGGGCACATTATATCTGGAATAACCAGGACTTTTAACCGGGACTTGTTTACTTGCTTACTGTGCTTTGGCAATGTTTATTTCATGTTTTTATGTGCAACCCAGTGACTAGGTGGTACAAAGAAAACAATATACATGTTTAGAATGAGTATTTTGACCACATCAATGGATTTGTTCGGGTGTAACTAGTTTTGAAACTGTTTGGAATGTTTTTTTATGAATACCTCAAAGACCTCACAGAGTGTAGGCTGGGAAACTCCAGTGTTTCTGGAAAGGAACCAGTTGGTCAATTAACTAGATTAACGATAGGAAACTATATGGTCGTACAGAGAGAGATAATGGCAGGCTTAACCACAATAATAGCATTATTTCCTTTTTAAATATTTACCCTCCACTGCTGGTCACATTACCTAGTTACAGTAAAAGAGGGCAGCCAGTCACCACAACAGAGATTGTATTAAGATTAGAGTGGGCACTTTGCAGGATTATTTCAAGTGCAACCAGTGTCAGATACCGTGTGGTTGAAACTGTCATAAGCCATGGGTGTGTGATGTGTTAATCTTCATGCCTGCAATGCAGGTGCTGCAGGTCCCCACTGCCTAAACTAAATACCTTTTGATAAATAAAATGAGTTCAAATGTATTTTTTCCAATAGGCACTTTGTTTCACTCCAAGCTTTAAACTCAACATTACACAGAAAAACAAACTTCAGACAGCCTCCAGCGCAAGTTGTTGATGGAGGAGTTTCTGGCATGGAGCGCCATCAGCATCATCTACTGTTACGTCTCCGCCAACATGTTGATGTCAGAGGGTGATGCTTTAAAGAAATAGTTCCACATTTTGGGAAATATGCTAATTGCTTGCCAAGAGTTAGATGAAAAGATCAATACCACTCTAATGTCTGTAGTACAGAGCTCGAGCAAGGAAACAATTAGCTTAACTTAGTATAAAGACGGGAAACGGGGAAACAGTTAGCCTGGCTCTTTCCAAAACTCTAAAGCTTCTAATGTTTCTGTAAAGTTCAATTTAAGTCCAATTGAAAATATTACATTAATAACCGTTTTTGACTTTAGAGTTTTCTCAACAATTTCTGAAATACAGATTTTTTGTTTCTAAAACTTACAGATTTAAAGACTTTTTCTAAAGAAGAAAAGTAAATTATTACTAGTTTAATTCAAAACTTAAGAGTTTGACTTAAAACTCAAAAAATGAATGAAGACAGTTGCCTTGAAAGTATGTGTTTCCTCAACCTTTTTTTTTACCCAAACAAGATCTGCAGTTTAAGTTTCTGTTACTTTGGAGATATCCATGCTAAATGTTACCACCATCAGCATACCTATAAATAGTGGCTGCTAGGTATGACATAAGACAAAAGCTGTCAGTATGGAAGACCACTCTCTGCCATGTACCCAGGCATCCCTTCTTTCAGCTTGCATCTTCCATCTAGTAATTTCCTCCATCAGCCCCAGAGCTCCCAGCTGGCTTCTCTGATTGACTGGTTGGAAATGTCACCCAGCAAGGCCTCCTGTTTGACGACAGTTCTGGGAGCAGTTTCAGACCTAATTAAAGGGCTATGTAAAATGGTCCCGCCTTCTCACACACTCTCTGTACTATCATCAGCTGCTGTTAATTGCTGTGATAAAATAGGTCTTACACCATGGAGGGATTAGCTCTTCTGCGTTTGCATTTTAGGAATATTTGCTGGAAGGAATGATTTTCACCTCCAGGGATCTCTCTGGTGTCATTCAGGAGATGCTGTCAGAGCTGATAAATCACTTTGGGAGGAACGTATTTTGTTCATGTGATGTTGCACATTGACTGAGGATCTCTCTCCAGTTCATTAGAGACAGTGTGCAGTAGTTTTCAGGGAGTTCTAGATTTGGATTGCTGTGAAACAGGGCTGTGATAACAGATGGACAGCAAATAACTCAAGCACACACACACACACACACACACACACACACACACACACACACACACACACACACACACACACACACACACACAGCTCACTGTAGAAGCAGAGAATGTGAAACTGTATAGACAAATCCCTGCTAAGCAGCTTTGCACTAGAAATGAGTTCTCACAATACAGTGTGTTACAGACTGGCTGACAAAACTACTGGCAAGTTATTGGAGCTGCTTGATGCTTGACAGCATTAAATCCTGCAGCAGAAGCATTCTGCTAGAATACAGTGTGGAATTAGCCCAAAGCTGGATGAACAGGGACACATGTGAAGTCCACGCTGACACACATTATCTGCACATGGCTTCAAACAGTGTGAACTCTAGCAAATGATGCGGCTGTGAATGTCAGATGATGCTGTTTTGCTCAGAGAGAGCCAATGAGCCGAGTTCCTGGCGCAGCATGCTGCAGCACAATGCTCTTTGTGTAGTAATCACTACAGCTAAATTCACTGAAAAATAAGGATGTTCATTAGCAATTTTATGTGCAATTGCTCAAGTGTTACAATTCCATTATTTAGCTACACATTTCCTCCTTTTCATTTGTGAGCTTGTGCTAGAATTTGTTGGTGACCCCTGCAGCCATGCTAGCTAGACCCTCCTGGTCCCGTGATGCAGTGTAACCTCAGAAATGAGGATTATGCTTCATCACATTCCCCTCTGTCAAAGTTTAACGGGGCACGCTGTGTGCTCTCTCAACATCTGAGCTTTGAAGTCTGGGAAGGGATTAGAGTTTAATGTCACATTCAGTGTTTAATGTAAACACAAAATTCAGTCAGGAGTTAGGAAAGTGTTTAGCAGCAATGGCATCGCCTTTTGTGCTTCCTGTTGGATTTGGTGCGCATGGCGAAATAGCAAACATAAAGTGAGAAGATGTAAAGGAAGAGAGATGAAAACACACACTGGAGATGGAAAAATGTATGTGCTGCGGTTCGAGTGTTTTCTCTGTGAAGTTATGTGTGTTCTGTGTCTCAGTCATATGACAGTCAGAGGTCACAGCAGCAGAGTCAGGCGTAAGAATCTGAGAAAGGAATCTCCTCACTGTTTGTTTGTGCCTTAGAGGAAATAACCCATGCTTCTGTCTGTGTCATGATGAATTTACACACAGTGTAAAGCCAGTTTCTTTTCATTATGGGAATATTTTTACATAACATACATTGCACTGCATGTCTTCATTATCCAGTCAGTGGCTTGCTTTCAACTTAACACCACTGTCATCAGTTATAAAGTGGACAGATTGATTTTTACTATATCACATTAGCAGGTTTGTTAGATGAAGTGTTGTGTCTGCATTCTCTTGTGCAGTTCATCCAGTTTCATAAACTCTTATTCAATGTGTCCATAGATAGATATTTGGAATATTGCATATTCTTCTTTATTTAAATGAAATAATATTAATTTAGCTTAATGTCTTAGTGTTAGATAATTAAACAACCATATAGATTTCCTCAGTTAAACTGTGCAATTACTGAACTCATTTTGCTGTGCTGCTCTTAATGCCCGCTATAAATACAATTAGTGCTATTACAATAACTGTTGGATGGCTTGCCATGAAATTACAAATACTTCAATCCAATGACTGGTGATTCTCTGCCTTTTCAGCTAGTGCTACCAGCAGGTCAAAGTTATCTTATCCAATGGTATATCTAAAAATTGACTAATTGTATTGGCACAAAACTTGGTACAGATATTCACGTCCCCCTCAAGATCAATTGCATCTTTGGTGATCCCCCTTCCTTTCTAGTCCCATCATCAGGACACTATCTAAGGACATGCCCATCATCTACAATTTGTGTTCAGTGCTAATTAGCAAATATTACTAAAAAGTTACTGAAGGATTAGTGTTTTCCCTCATGTGTCCCATTATCTGTCCAGTCAATCCCACTTTCCTCCCAGAAACATACAGGGAATATAGCTTGCATATTCCCTGTAATATTTTAATATCTTTGGCTGAAGATGTAGCTGGATGGATGCAAATACTTTTTGACTTTTTTGACTTTTTGTGACAGTATGTTTTAGTTTATTGAGCTAGAGTTAATGCGTGTGCGTTGTCTTTATCAGGGAGAGACTATAAGAGACTAAACATTAACATCATATTTAAAAAACCTGGGATGTGTTGTTAAGAATTAAAATGAAATGCCAGCTGATGGACTGGCACTGAGCCTAGATTTCTGGCTCTTATTGTCTGTAAAGTTGAATAAATAATACAGATGTTTTGTTATAAAAGCTTAAAAGGGATGATTATCAGAAGAGAGGTAATTGTTGTAGTTTCTTTTTTAGCTCAGTTCCTGTTTAATTTCACTGCCATGACCTAAATGCTGTAAACCCACTAATAAGTAAATATAAATAAAACCTCACATTGTTTCACCAATCCTTTAATTCTGACCAGTTTGTGCTGATTCTGGTAATCCTCTGCTGGTTGGCTAACACTGATGGATGGAAGGCTTTTGCATACGAGGGAACAGATCTCCTACATTTCATTTAGCATTTAATTAGCACAATTGGCTCTGGTGTTGGGTCTGTGGGAATCACATAAAGCTACATAGCTGAAACTAATGTGATTCACAGTCTCTAACAGCTGGTGTGTTTGTCTGAGCCCGCTAAAAATGCATCACCGACCATAACATCCTATTAACAGATCCAGAGACCAGCCTCCTTGCCATTTGTGATCCTCCCTGACCTTCCTGATATCAAATGTTGGTTGGATTAAAAAAAAGGTTTAAGGAACAGTTCAACGCTGACTTGCCTTTTTGCCGAGTTAGACGAGAAGATCGATACCACTACGATATCCGTCTGGTCAGTATGAAGCTGGAGCCAGTCTTATCATCACCACAAGGTTGCCATGCAACCTGCAGAGACTTTCTTGTTTCCAGC